AGGAAAGGGAGTGAAGCTAGAGGAGAGAATGGGGTAAGAAAAATGACACAAACATTGTAGTAGGGGAGGAATCAGCCAAACAGAAAGATCTAAAGAAAGAAGATTTTTAAAAATGTTTCCTGTAGTCTGTCCCCAGGAAAACATGTGGGGAAGCCAGATAAGAGGCTTTTTAAGTAGCCCAGCCCTTTAACAGCAGCACATCACTAGGCAAATTAGGAGTTGGTTGTGAAATCAATACAAGAATGCAAATGTTGATTTGACAATGAAATTTTTGCAGACTTTGAGGAAGCAGCATGTCCTATAAATGGAACATGGCCGGGCTATGTAAATACAGTGGCTTCATGCTCTTGGTCAGAAGAAAGTGCCGTTGCCCTGAGTGATTTCCTCACCAGTATTATAAACACACCGTCCTTGGAGTTTGAATCTAATGAGTAATATGGAAGCTCAAGACTTGAATGCACTCAGAGGAGAACCCAGATTTTTCTAGAAAAATTTATATGTTTAATCATAGATTTCCCCCCACTCAAATCCTTGGGCATCAATTCACACCAAACCATTCACATTGTTGCTTATCTACCTAAAACTACTGTGCTGTGTAAATCTGTAGTAATACTTCTTGAGCTCCCAGACTTTAAGCACATCAGTTTCAGAAGTGAAAAGGATCCTACAGCCCAGCCCGTGCTTCTCCGTGGTTGAGCATTGACCCAGGAACCAGGAGGTCACATTTAAATTCCTAGACAGGGCATATGCCAAGGTTTTGGGCTCAATTCCCAGTAGGGGCCATACAGGAGGCAGCTAATCAATGATTCTCTCTCCTCATTGGTGTTTCTATCTCTCTCTTCCTTTCTGAAATCAGTAAAAATATATTTTAAAAAAAGAAATGGACCCAGCAGGTCACAGCAGTCCTCTTAGCTGCCCCTGCCCCCTCACTACCATTTTCTCCAATGATGAAACAGAGGTCCATTGACATGTACAAGATCGCAAAGGTGTCCATTAGAAACAGTGCTTCTAAAGTCATGAGGGCATTTTTTATGTACCCAATCTACCATGAACCCAAGGTCTCCATTACAAAGGCAATTTCTAGATTTTCATGCCTTCATTCATTCTTATTTCGATTCACTAAAATATACACTGAAAAAAAATCATGCTTTTGGTATTAGCATTTTCATAAATGTCAAAAATTCATAGATTTGCTGCTAAGAAACACTAATGGGCTCAATAATAAATCACAGACAGAATAAAATAAAAAATATATTATGTACTGGGATATATGAGAAATAACTATTTATATCACATGCATTTACTTTTTAAAAGAAAAGATACACACACACACACACACACACACACACACACACACACACATTAGAGGCCCAGTTCACAAAATTCATGAATGGGTGGGGTATCCCTTGGCCCAGCCTGCACCCTCTCCAATCTGGGATCCCTCTCGCAATCCAGGACTGCTGGCTCCCAACCGCTCATCTGCCTGATTGCCCCTAACCCCTTTTGCCTGCCAGCCTTATCACCCACTAACCACTCCTCTGCCAGCCCGATTTCCCCTAACTGCCCTCCCCTGACAGCCGGGTTGCTCCCAACTGCCCTCTCCTGCTGGCCCAGTCACCCCTAACTGCCCTCCCTTGCCAGCCTGGTCACCCCAAACTGCCTTTCCTGCAGGCCTGGTCACCCCCAACTGCCCTCCCCTGCTGGCCTGGTCCCCTCCAACTGCCCTCCCCTGCAGGCCTGGTCGCTCCCAACTGCCCTCCTCCCCTGCTGGCCTGGTTGCCCCTAACTGCCCTCCCCTGCTGGCCTGGTCACCCCTAACTGCCCTCCCCTGCTGGCCGTCTTGTGGCAGCCATCTTGTGTTCACAAGGGGGTGGCCATCTTTGACTACATGGGGGTAGCCATCTTGTGCAAGGGCGTGACAGTCAATTTGAATATTACCTCTTTATTATATAGGATACACACACACACACACATATATTAATCTATATCTTACTCTAGTTAGATATAGAAGTAAGATCCTTTATGCCTACATTAGTGGCCAGATTTGATATATCTTAAAACTCTTTTATCAAAGTAATGATTATATTTCTACTAGAGGCCCGGTGCATGAAATTCGTGCAGGGGTGTGTGTCCCTCAGCCCAGACTGCACCCTCTCCAATCTGGGACATCCCTCTCATAATCAAGGACTGCTGGCTCCCAACCTCTCACCTGCCTGCCTGCCTGATCATCCCCTAACCACTCCCCTGCCAGCCTGATCGATGCCTAACTGCTCCCCTGTCAGTGTGATTGTCCCTAACTTCCCTCCCCTGCCAGGCTGGTCACCTCCAACTGCCCTCCTCTGCTGGCGTGGTCACCCCTAATTGCCCTCCCCTGGAGGCCTGGTTTCCCCCAGCTACCCTCCCCTGCAGGCCTGATTCCCCCCACCCCCAACTGCCCTCCCTTTCAGGCCATCTTATGTCCACATGGGGGTGGCCATCTTGTGTGTTGGAGTGATGGTCAATTTGCATATTACTCTTTTATTAGATAGGATGAAATAGGGGGACAAAATATTCTTATTCAAATTATGTTTTAAATCTTATTAAAAGTGAAATTTTATTCTTTTTTTTAAAATATATTTTATTGATTTTTTACAGAGAGGAAGGGAGAGAGATAGAGAGTTAGAAACATCGATGAGAGAGAAACATCGATCAGCTGCCTCCTGCACATCTCCTACTGGGGATGTGCCTGCAACCCAGGTACATGCCCTTGACCGGAATCGAACCTGGGACCTTTTAGTCCGCATGCCGACGCTCTATCCACTGAGCCAAACCGGTTTCGGCAATGAAATTTTATTCTTAATTAAATAAATTTTATAATACATAACTAATGTAGAAACATAAAAATGAAAATATGAGCAACCATCTGTGAAGAAATTCTTAAAACAGCATTTCTACAAACAACTTTGTGAGGTATAACTGAAGTACAGTATAGTGCAAATACTGAAAGTGTACAGTTTGATTACTTTTAAAATATGTAGACTACTACTGTTCAACCATCATCTAAATCATAGATAACAAACATATCTATTACTCCCAAAGATTCCTTGTATCCAGTATGATCCACTTCTCTCCCCATCCCATCCCTAGATAATCACTGATCATCTTTCTGCCACTGTTTGAATTTTCTAGAACATTATGTAAGTGAAATCATAAGCACCCAATAAGTACTTTTATTTTTTTTTTTTTGCCTGGCTTCTTTCATTCAGCACATTGAATTTGTAATTTATCCATGTAGTTGTATGCATCAATTTAGAATTTGTCCATCTATTAATCTGTTGATAGTTATCTGGGTCTTTTTTTTGAGAATAAAATGCATACTCCTTAATTCTTTCTGTACAGTGTCCTTGGAAAAATGACTAGTCTCTCTGACTCTTAGTATTCTCCTCTATAAACATGTGTTTAATGTCTGTCTCATAGGTTTTACAAGGATTAAACCACCGAACACATTGCCCGACACTCAATTGCCTTAGTGGTGTCAGTTATGAGGTGACACTTTCCTCCTATTGAAATGCTTTCATTCTTTTCTAGTTATTTTAGTGTCCTCTTAAACATTACCATAATTCAAGCCCCATTGTCTGCTCCGAAGACATAGGGCTACCAATATAGTTGCTTCTTAAAATTTCATCCTTCTTTTGGAATTTATTGGCTTCTATAACTGGTGACAAAGTGTTCTGTTGTTTACACATAGGCCCACGCTAGCTATGGAATGTCTACCTAGGCGGAATGTGGAGACAACAATCAGGCCAGGATCTGTTTCTAGAAGCTTAAAAGCTGTGTTTGCATTGTAAAAGTTCTATATTAAATGAGATGATATGTTAACTTGTGGTGCTTATGGAGAGGAGCAGTTGAAAATAATTATGGATTTGAGGAAGTAACTAAAGCCCTTCTAACCCACCCATTGCTGCTACCAAAGTTCATTCAGTTCTCTTTGTTTTCTTTTTCCAAATTATTATTTCTTCACTGCTACTCCTTTAAATGTGCCCACATTCAATTTTCCTGCCTGGTCAAATTTTGTCTATGCAAATATAAATAAATACATACATAAATAAATGCATAAATAAATAAATGGTGTTAATTTTCTCTTTCTTCACATTCTTTGTAAATATTATGTCCAACTAAGCTACTAAATCTAGTTCAGTTGGCAGATGGTGATGGACATAAGAATTTTAATGCCCCTTGTGGATATTATACGTGTGTGTGGTTGGGTGGGGGGCGGGGGGGACTGAGGCTAAGTACCATGCTAATAAGATCAAGCCAACATATTTGATAGTCATTGGGACCAGGGTGGTTTGCTGTAATGACAATTCTATTTACTTAAAGTTGACTTTATTGACATAGTTTTTTGTTCACCAAAAAGCAGTGTTGGTGGTCATGTGTGGAAGTGGAGTGGGTAACAGATGAAAATGTGAATACAAAAATAATATAACCTAAAGATGACTAGATAACAACATCATGAAATATAAGGAACATTGTATGATATTGCCATTTTTTTTTAAATATATTTTATTGATTTTTCACAGAGAGGAAGGGAGAGGGATAGAGAGTTAGAAACATCGATGAGAGAGGAACATCGATCAGCTGCCTCCTGCACACCCCCTACTGGGGATGTGCCTGCAACCAAGGTACATGCCCTTGGCCGGAATTGAACCTGGGACCTTTCAGTACGTAGGCCGACGCTCTATCCACTGAGCCAAACCGGTTAGGGCGCCATTTGTTTTTTAATGGAATTAGAAATTGCACAGAGTATGGGCATGTTGCCTGTGCACTTTGAAGTCCTCTGGCATGTGCAGCATTGTCCAGTAATTTAATTGACTGAAACAGTTGCAAAGAAATGAACTTTTTATTTACTACTCAGAAAAGTAAAGACTTTATATTTCATTTTTGTACCTTATTGGCTAATAGGAATGTGCACTCCACCAAGAGTTTTTAGAGAATAATATAATGTTTTTATATTTTCTCAGGGATAACACTGTAATATGCAGAAATCTACAAATTCAGATACTTCCGTAGAAACACTGATTTCCACCTGCCAAGGCACTGGAGCTGTGCAGATGAGAATCAAAAATGCCAACAGTCACCATGATAGACTGAGCCAAAGTAAATCCATGATCCTCACCGATGTTGGGAAGGTCACTGAACCTGTAAGTCAATATCCTTAACAACCAAGTTCCCTAACACAGAATTTTGTGTAAAAAACAACAACAACATAAATTAGCCTTGTTTTATTTGTTTTCCTAATGTGCATGAGAAAACTGATTTTATAATGTATTTTATCTTGCCTACTTATAGTCATACTAATGTCCCCAGTTGCAAGAGAAGGGATGAGCTTAATCCAGAGTGATAAAGTGGATTTGGAGCTAGCTAGACTGAAGAGCACCTTTGCCTCATTTTAAGGGTCTCCACTATCATGCTTCAGTGTCATAAAAATAATGAGGTTATGCTAGCATGTGGTGTTTGTACTTCCAAATACAGTACATCACTTTGAAAAGCCAGAGGCTAAAATTAGCTAAGAATAAACCGAGACGAGAAAAAAGTCTTTGGGGAAAAAAACCCACAAAAACGTGACAATTTCTTTCTTAAAATTATCTCAGCGATATATGATATTGGAAATTAGGACTGATTTGGAATGAGCTGAAACGATTGAAATGGTATGGCAATTTAAGGTTTGGAGAGGAAGCCATTTTGTTTCGATAATGTGTCATTAGGAAGATTTGAAATAAAATAGTTAGAGATGAACTCTACTGCCAATTGTGTCCCTGCCCCTGCACGCATCCTGAGCCACTAAACACACTGATTGCGATGAGTCTCCTCTGGTTAATTTTCTTCCATAATGGTGGTAACTTGCAGCTGAGGCCATAGGATGTTACAAAATTATTGATGCAATGTTAGCCACTCTTTTGGACCCCGGATCTATGTTGTTTCTCACAGTGAGAGCAAAAGCGAGAAATAGTTTAGCTGGGGACAGGCTGTGTTTTCCAGTCACCCAGCAGAAATATGTGAGCTATTAATTGTGTGTTCCGTTAATATCACAGGGACCTATGAAATATTCAGCTCCCTAACTGAGTTATTAAATGAGATAAACTTGCTGAGTAGCATGTTACCAATTACATGTATTCCCTGTTTTTCACTCAAATTTCAAGTGCCAAATTAACCCACAATCACCTCAGGCACCTGAGAAATACAGGATTTGAATCATTCCTTCTTCAGGTATTAAGGCAAATGTAGCATAAGGAAGCCAGTGATTATATTTTGGGAGCGAGAAATACACCCTTAGATAAGGTATCCAGAGATGCATTTTTCTTTATTTATTTCTCATTTAAAAGTATTGTCTGCAGGGAGGCACAACACTGCCAGCCCGACTCTGCTTTTGAACCAGCTAAAATGTTCCTCAACTATGAACTTGAGGCAGTGGTTAGAGTAAATTATTGGAATCTCTATAATGTATTATCAGTAAGAACTGTACCTTTGAAGAAGTTTAAAAGTTAAGTATATTTAATGATGCCTAACATATTTTATTGGCTGTGTTTAACAAAAGGCACTATGCCGCAGTTGTTTTTGACAAGCATGAAAACATCACAGCGTGAGACTGCAAAAGGAATTATGGAGAGAAATTACAAGTGATCCATCTCTCAATGAATTATCCACCTCAATAGCCCGCAGAACTCAGCTACCAATTAACACCTACTTTATTACATGTTGGGATGTACTTAATAACTTTCATGTGTTTATGCACTATTACCTTGACTGATGCCTCTTGTACAATTAGGCATAATTGGCATATCAATATGCAAAAGTTAAAAGGATTAACCCTCTTAAAACTAATGAGCATTTCTGTATCCAGCTGCTAAATGAGACAAAATTAGCATTTTTCACTTTTGGGCAGGATTTTATCATGCAGTTTCTCATTGTTGATATTACCTTGTTACATAACTTTAGTTTGGGGGTTTGTATGCGGGACTGCTGGAGAATAAGAGTTTTCCAAAGTTAAATCCGCCATAATTATCCCAGCTTTTGTTTCCTCATTCTTAGCCTGGGCAATATGTATTCCTTGATAAGGAACAAAAGTAAGTTACTTTGGGTGATGTGAGCTCAGTGCATAATTATATAAAAAGGGTATTTCAGTGAGGATATGTCATTTCACCGAGAAAACTTGGCTGAGATACTGTATTGAAAGCTTGCCATGGCACTAATTTTCTTTCTGTCTCAGTTCTTTTCATCTCTTTTTTTCCATGCACAATTTTCTGACTAGATACTGACAGAATGTAAAGTATTTGGGCATATTTATTCAAACAAGCCTGTTAAAGATATCTGCTCAAGCTAACTAAGAACTTGATCTTTCAGAAGTTGAAGGTTGGAGTGAGGTCAAGGGGGGGTATTTTGAACTTAGGAGAAATAGGAGAAAATGTATAATAAAAATGTGTGCATATGTTTTCTGTACATTTAATCTGTACAGAAAAAATTAAGAATACTTAGAAACTATATATATATATGTCTTATGCATTCTATTTAGTATGCATGGTGTATATATATGTGCACCCTATTTAATATGCATGGTATATATGTATATATGTACACTGGCATGACAATTATGCAAATATGGACTTATTAGAGTACATAATAACACAAGAATCTGACCTTATGTTCATAACAATTTAACTTATTACAAAAAGTAATCAAAGGTTCTAGGGTCAAATCAATTATATAATTTTGTCATTAGTTCACAAATTCATCTTCTTTATTTTGTTCAATTGTAAGTATGTTCAATACAACTGTGAGCTCAGAACACAATATAAACTTCTCCTATATACCTGATAAGAGCCTATTTGTTGGTGTTTAAATCTAGGAGCAAAAGTTTGAAATGTCAATATGAACATTAATTCAACCCTAAGCCCTGCAAACGTAGGTGAATTTACTTGTTAAATTAAAAGTTTTGATTACCTAAGTGCTGCAGGGAAGCTTTTCAGTGACCAGGTATCGATACTCCATTACTATTTTATTGGGTGGTATGCATCATTTTCCTTAAACACCAAATAATCATTTTTATGTGGTTTATAAGATCGATGCCTTTTCAAAATTCAAAGAGGTCACTTTAGTACTTGGGGAATATTGGTGAGGGAGGAAATTTGGACATGGGAGGACATGGTTAGCAAGAAAATTGCCTGTCTGTGAGCAAGATCTGGAGATCTCTGCTTGGTGGGGAAGGAATGTTCTTTGGTCTCAGTGGTTTGCTGTCTCACCCTCAGTACTGGAGCGAGCCCTCTTAAAGGTGGACTGCTATTGATATATCAGAATGTGCTACCCACAGAAGCAGAAAGCTTAGTGAGTGTAAATGGGGCAAGTGAAGTGTGGCTTTTTAAAGGCTAAAAAGGCTAGCATGCAATCCAGCAAATAGCTAATGCAAAAGGTTGTTGCATTAATGTGGCATTGATGTTTTTTATAAGAGCGATCCTCCAACCTAGTAGACATTTTAGAATAGATATTAATGAAGAGTTTGAATAGTTGAAGTCAGGAAACTGCAGGCATAGGATTTGCAGGCAGGAGTAGTTTCGGTATTTAATGCTGGTGGCTTAAGCAGCAACATGTATGAATATTTACCATTTCCATCTTGTAAACCCCACATAAGTGCATTAATTCATTCATGGCCATTATGGACAGGGAAATATCTTTCTATTAGTGTTCAGATAAAGACTTAGCTTGAACCATTGCTAAACATTAACACGTAAGATTCCTTTTGCTTCTGTTAACAGTCTGGGCTCGTTCATGTTCCTTTTAAATCTATTATAGGAAAAAAGAGGAAACAACTTTCTTTGTTTCTTACTTCTGTGATTATAGGATACTTGCCAAAGTTGTGGCTAGCCAAAAAGGCAGACATAAAAATTGCTACTAAAAATATAAGCCTTCTGTTCAGTCGAGTTTTTGAGAAATGTTATGAGACTATATGACTTGTCCATGTTTACTTCAAATCAAGCTTATAGTTAGGTTTGAGGCTTTGTTTGTATAAATTGTCCTGAAGTGGATCCTGATATTTAATTAAAATGACACTAAATCACTTTGAATTGATAAGACTTGGCATCTCAAACAAAGGTAATTGCCCGTATTGGTTTTGTGAAAAAATAGCGCCGCTTGGAAAATGTGCAGCCAACACAGACTGTCAGCTCCATTTATAGATCAATATGTGAAAACCATTGATCAGGCAGGCATGGATAACAGTAACACTTTGCATTTATTTGTTGTTTTTATACCACATTAAGGCTTACAGGATTATAGGCTTCCTAAATATTTTGACTTCCTCATAAATATATGATCTGTTGCATGTTAATTAAAAGAGAGTCTGCAGCCATTTCTAAAATTGTTTTTAGTTTGATGATTTCCTTTTATTGCTGTGGATTGTATGATCTGGAAAAGGATTAGTTTCCTTCTGCATAAAGATTATTAAAGCTCATTTTAATGTGTCCTACTTAATGTACGATGTGGCTGCCTTTTTGCTTTGAAAAATATGGATACAGACAATTATTTTCTCTTAGCGAGTGGCTGATTTTTTATTTTTTTTTTTATTAACTGGGCAATCTCAGCACCCAGGGTAGAATTATTTCCTGACATATTTTGCACACCCGGTAGATAACGGGTCTTCTCGATTTCTCCTGATAGAATTTGTTTTCTTTCTTTTTATCTAGCTCTGTAGTACAGGCATCTGATTAAACATTATGTAGAAAATAAACTGCTCATCTCAATTAAATTCCAGACACACACAAGTATAATTTGAATTCTGTTTTTCTGATTCAACAACAAACCTTATGAGCTGTTGTTATACTCTGCATCCAGCAGTTAAATCTTCCTTATCTCATCAATGTAAGGACAGAGTTTTGTTCCTAATCTTTATTGGACTATTTCGATGACATTTGTAAGGCATTTTGGTTTATAAGGAAAAGCTGGAGCACAGTGGAGTGCGACTCTCCATAGATCCAAGCTTCAGATATGACTAAGCAATAATGTGTCTTCCACCACAATTTTCTTTGCCACTGAGAGGTCAATTTTGTTGAGAAATCTTTTTATATCCTCCATATACATCAGGAGTGCTGCTTTCCACAAAATACTTGGCCTTTTCTGTGATATTAAAACAATAATAAAAGAAACAAGATTT